AGGGGAAATTAAAGACAATCTGTAAAAAGGCATGCATATTGTACCTCGGTAGCGGTGCTCTGGTTGGCTCCATTTTCCAGCAGATATTTCACTACTTCAATGTGGTTCTCTTGCGCTGCCATGTATAAAGGAGTGAAACCATTCTAGGAAAAAAACCCAACAGAATATCAAGTAATGAAGTCTATATTGATATATTAATAGTAATGAATAACAAATAAACACACAAAAATATAAATGCCATTTAAGAGCATGTTAAAAAAAACGTATATCAAGTGAAATCTAGCAAAATTGCCATATTTCCTGAGCATGGCACTCTTTTGTACTGAGCATTAGTACTAATACAGGGAAACAACTTTGTGTTTTCTGTGTTAATATACTAGAACGATCTGCCCTTGTTTCATGTTCTGTGTCACAAAGCTAAATCATGAGGATCACAAAAAAACAGATTCTAAAAAATATTTTTAACATATCAAAGCATCTGCTGTTTTGCAATGATCTATAAACTACCTAGGCTTTCACTCTTAGTATTCTTTTACATAATTTTAGGATAACTCAGTATACACTGGGAATGTTCATTAATGACTGATAGATATAAAACTGGCAGTAAAATTTTATGAACACTGACATAGAAGCAAGATTTTTCTTAATTACTTTTATTTAATCAAAGGCAGTGAAAATAAAGTCAAATGAAGTTTAGTAGAGATGGCAAAGCTTTAAAATAATACATAAAATTTAACAGCCATAAAAATAGTGCAAACCATCAATCCGAAAACAACAAGACATTGCAGAGTTATGACTATCTTTCTGAGACCACAGTAATATTGTATATAACTTAAGTATATACTTGTATATGTATGATTTAAGTATAAACACACCTAGAAATGCAATAAGGTTCTTAAACAAAACTGCTCCAGATATTATCTTTTCTTTCCAGGGCATAACATGTATACAGATATAGATATGAGTTTAATTATATTGTGCACATGGAGTGTGTGTGCATGCGTGTGTCTACTTTGAAATACCTTGTTTTAAATAAAAATACATAGCATGTTAATTCATCAATATCCATATGAGTGAAAGGCACAAAAATGAGCCTATTTGCATGATTAATGAGGCTTCATATTATTGTTTCAGGATCATTAAATAGGCCCAACATTCTTGTGTCAAGCTCTGTAAATAACACTGTAATTTAAGAGAACTTAATCATCTCTCATGAAACTTCCTGTTACCATTCCATGCCACCCCTAGCAGAATATGAACCATAAATCAGATTTCAGCCACAAGGTGCTTTTTTCCCTACTTCAGTATGTTTTACAGTTTAAGAGGGTGGGCTTGTATGTGCTTACAAACATATTATTCTTTTGAGTAAACTTCTCATGGAAACATTCAACACATTCTCAAAAGAGAACCCTATCACACAGGCAACAGATAACACACTTGACTGTAGGACCCATGGTTTCCGATCTCCATATGTGACTGCACAGCTATATTAATATAACTGATACAAAATGTCCACATGGACAAAGGCAAGGGAACTCGGGATGGTATGGTTCCTTGGAAACCTGATAAGGTTTAAAGTTAAGAGGGTTCAAGTGTTGTTGTAGGCATAATGGTCTAAGACAGGGATTGTCAACTGGGGGTACTTGGAAAGGCCCTAGGGGGTACACGCAGGCGGGCAGGTGGGGAGGGAGCACCACCACCCACCACCCTGTGCCACCACCTCCCAGAAGCAGTGCTGGGGCGGGACAAGGACAGCAGTGCCCCTCTGAAGGCCACACAGGCACTGACTAGCAGGCCAGATGTGGGGGTGGGGAAGCTCGCACATGGTGGTTGCCACTGCCACCCACCACCCCGCACTACCCAATCCCCACCCCCTCCGAGCTCTGCTTCCGGTCACTGTGGGTACACTTACTATAAAAAGTTGAAAACCCCTGGTCTAGAAAATATGTGAATATCTTTTACTGGACCAAATGTATAGCTGGGAGAGATGTTAGACAAATTTTCAGGCTCAAAATGCAGACTTGGAGAAAGGCACTTTGTCCCCGAAAGCTAGTCTACTACATCTCTCCCAACCACATATCTCTCTCCCCCAACTCTCTGTCCAATAAAAGATATCACCCAAAAAACCTTGCTTATCTTTAGAGTTAAGAGCCAACAACTATAAAGTAGGGCCCCCTGGATTTTATTTCTAGTCTTGCCATTGACTCACTGGGCATGTCTACACGAGATGCAGTAAACTGAACTACTACATAGTCAGGACAGGCATCCTATACTGTGAAACCTGCGGCTGCAGGGGGTCCCGCAGCTAAGGAGCCCCCTGTACAAAGGCAGTGAAAGTGGGAGGATAACAGGGTTATGCCCCCCAAAATACAGGGTAGCAGTAGGTATTGCCTTAGGGCAGCCCAGCTGCAGGGTCCTACAGCAGAGGTGGGGAGGGGTGGGCATGCTGAGCTACCCTGCGCACTTGCAGCCAGGATCACAGCTGGCCTAGCCACAGGCAGGTAAGTTTCTTTTAATCTGTTTTTTTTCTTTCCACAGGCTTGGGGAGAGGGCAGCTCAAGGACAGATGAAGTACAAGAGAGAAATCATTCACCCCTGCCCCCGGCCCACTCCCTCTTCCACTGTGGGGACTGTCCCACGAACTGGCCTGGCCCCCATTCACCGTGACTGAGGCCCTGGCCCGGCTGGGTCATGGGACAATCAGATCCCGGCCACTTCGAAAGCAGTAGGCGCTGCCATGTGCATCCCACCGCTGGGCGGGCCGGGCAGTGAGGCACATAGCGGTGTCCGCCACTTCTGAAGTGGTGGCAGTGAGGCACGGAGACATGAAGCAGAGGCTGAGCCCAGCTCACAGCTGTGACCTGCCCTCGCTTGTGCAAAGATCAGGGGGCCATGTGCCCCCTCCCCCCTCGGCTGCCTGGCACCATGCTTCTGGAGGAGCTGCCAGGCTCTTCCTGGGGATGACGTGAAGTGAGGCAGGGTGGGCGCGGGGTTCCTGGGGACTCCATCCCCTCCAGCCTGGCAGTGCAGCTGAGGCTGGCCCCACTCTGGGCTCCCCCCACCGGTGCATGGCCAGGACCAGTGCAGCCAGGAGGCAGATGGGGCAGGTGCCGGGGCTGCGAGGTGGCAGAGGCTGACGTAGCCAGTGCAGCCAGGAGGCAGCTGGGGCCAGGACTGGTGTGGCTGGAGCTGGGAGACAGTCTGGGCTGGCGTGGACCCTGCTCCAGCATCAGACAGCTCCTGGGGGTAGGGAGCAATCTTCCAGACCTCGCTTTGATTGCAACACTGAGGCTCAAAGCTGCCTACACAGGGAGAGTTCCCCAGCCCCAGGTTAAGTGGGGAAGTCTGTACATGCAGCCCAGAGCTGGCTGGGAACCATTCCATTTCAGAACAGGTTTCAGCCAGCTCTGGGCTGCATGTGCAGACTTCCATGCACAGTCCAGGGCTGTCCGAGAACTGTACTGGTCTGGGCCAAGACCAAGCCCCACAGCTCTTTCTCAGCCCCATGCCCCGATCAGGTGATTGAGGCACAGGGCTTGGAAAGAGCTGTTGTGGGGGCAGGGGGCAGGTCCCAGCCTGCTGTCCTGATTCACTGGTCCCAACCCCCTGCCCCAATCTGCCCAGCCAGGGGCTCACTGCTAGCTACCCCATTGGTGGAACAGCTTCTGGCTGCCCCCAGGTAAGCAGGAATTCCTACCCAGCTGGGAGCTCACTACTAGCTGTCACACCAGCAGATCAGGGCAGGGACCTGCCCCGCCCCCACAGCTCTTTCCTAGCCTTGTGCCCTAATTGGGTGATCAGGGAATAGGCTGGGAAGAGTCATCGCTGCTGCAGCTCTTTCCCAGCCCCATGTCCTGATTGCCCGATTGAGGCATGGGGCTGGGAAACAGCTACAGGGGAGGGATGCACCCCAGAGCTGGCTGAGACCTGCCCCAGGTGGGCTTGTCCGCATGTGCATGGGGTGAGAGAGCTGTGCAGCAGTAGATCTCCTGCCCCATGTACATCAGGACGCCACCTGTGCTCCCTGACAGCCCCTGGGCTAGTGCCCAGGGGAAGCCTAGAGCTCCCCCTGGCTGCTATGGGGGGACAGAGCAAGATGGGAGCAAATCTGCTCCCAAGAGGTAGCACATGTAGATGTATTTCCCAGTAGGCTTACTGTGCAGTATTTTTACTGTGCAGTAACCCTACTTCGAATTAACTGGACGTGTAGACATGCCCACTGTTTATGTGTGTGTGTCCCTGCACATGCATGCATGCATGTTTGTTTGTCCCTCCTTATAATCAATACAGGCAGTCCTTGGACTTACAACCCAATTGGTTCCTGAAAATGGCATCTTAAGTTGAAACGTAACTCAGAACCCATTTTCCCATAGGAAATAATGTTATATATGGGGAATTGGTTCCTGAACCAAAGCCCGATACCCTGTTTTCACCAAAAATAACCCACTATTTTGTATTCAATCAATTATAGATGAGTAATAAAGTTACATTAATGTATTTATATTGTAAATAGAAATCACATTCATTTGGAAGGACTTCTTTGAGGTGACTTTGCTAGACTTTTTCAAGGGCTCATGGCTGCACTTTTTGAAGGGTTCTTGGCTGGATTCTTCTCAGGAGTCTTGGCTGCAGGTTTTTCTGCAGTCTTGTCTGCTTTTTTAAAAAAAGTATCCAAGGAAGTTTGGACAGATGTTCTCCAGGGAGATGGGTCACAGTGACTTGTTCGCTGTCATGGCATTACATCATATTAAGTGTTGTAAAGTCAAAACTGACATCACAAAGTTGAAACTGGGTGTCAATTGTAAGTGAGAAACGTTGTAAGTGTGGAACGTTGTAAGTCGAGGACTGCCTGTATATTATTTACCTCCTTCACACATGGGTTGTAAAACTAAATTAATGTTTGCAAAAAATGTTTGAATAAAAAACAAACAGAGCTACGGAAGCACAAATTTATTATTGACCACAACACTGGTGCTCAAACAAATGTAAAAAAACCCTGAAATGTCAACAAAAAGGGAAAATATTCATCATGAAAATATTCATCAAAAGCATTTCTATGTTCAATCATTTCTACTGGGTTTGCCTCCTAGCCCTATACCCACCCATATATTAGACCTGCTTAGCAGGATCATTGTTAAAAAGC